TACACGTCTCAAAGCTCACGAAGCGATACCTCAGGATTGTGAGAGGCATCGAAGTCTGTTCGCAGTATGTCTGTATGTATGTATGTATGTATGTATATATATATATATGGATGGAATGTACTAGCATATAAGCATATTTTCTGTAGCATTGTACTTATATACATTATCTGTCTATCTATCTATCTATCTATCTATCTATATTCTTCTTCCACAGGGTCAAACATAATCTCGCTCTCTCTCTCTCTCTATATATTTCTGGCTCTTCCCCTGTTTGACCCCCTGCCCCGCTGCCGCGCAGCGGCGAGGTAGGCCAGGCGCAGCGCCAGCATTCCGAGAGGATCCTGCGGAGCTTCGCTGCCGCTGCGAAGGCCCAGGGCCAAGCTCAACTCTTTTAGGCGCTTAGGGTTTAGGCTAGGGAACTTCGGTCAAAAGCAGCAGGATGCAGGTTTTCCCGTGCTGCCCAGAAGTCTGAGACCAGGGGGCACGTCGCCCCGGTCCACTGGTCGGGCTCTCTGTGCCGCTCTGCGCGATCTCCACCAGGCCGCTGTTGACTCGCTTGGGCGCGACTTTCTCGCCCTAGAGGAAGGAGATGGTCTTGCTCCTCAGCAGGAGGGGATCACCGCTTAGAAGGAGTTTCAAGTTTACCAGGTGTTTGTGTACACGGGCACAGCTGAGGCACAGTTTTTCAAGGTCTGCACCGGACATGGCGGACACGCTGCCAGGTCTGGAGGCAGCTGCAAGATCCTCCTTGCGGCAGAAAGCACGCAAGATCGAGATCGAGTTCGTGTCGTCGCTCCGCGTCCCCCCAGAGCCTTGCAGTCGCCGCCGTGAAGCTTGACGCTGCATACCACCTGCTTCCACTGTTCTCAGAAATTCGGCTGGGTTCCGTGGGAAACCGACCTTGCCATTGGGGTCGGCGCAAGCGTCGCAGTGCTCTCCCGGCTTGCCTGGACGCAAAGGCACAGAGCAGCAGCGAAGCGTCAGACTCAGAAGGGACATTTTACCGGGCGGCAATCTGCTGGTGGCTGTCCGAGAAGGTACCTGATGCAGCTACTCAAAGGTGAAGTCCCCACTTTCCCTGCAAAGCTGCGGATCAGTGCCACTGTGCACTGGGGCACTTGTAGGTGTGCCATCCCGTGCCCGCAGCTGGCGACAGGTAGTACATCACCCCGCAGTCCTTCAGAGCTTCCGCTTCCGCTCTCCGACTTGGGCCCCAAGGACCCGGCCGCCTTGCTCCAATGGAGCGTCGGCTCCGTCGTATCGCAGACGTAATCGTAGCCTTGCTTGCCTCAGAAAAACGAAGACTGGCAAGCGCCACGAGCCGAAAAATGGGATCTGCTCCCGAGCAGCAGAACTCATGGAAGTCCCGGCTGCAGTGCTCCGCCCCTAGGCGTACACAGGCGCAGCTTGCCCACGCGCTACTGCTGGCAACTGGCAGCATGCGGCGCCTCCATGGTTCTGCACGTGATGCTGGCCCAGCAGAAGATCCTGCCATACACTTTACAGTATCGTGCCATCTTAGCTAAGCCGAATACACAAAGATCTCAGCTCGGCCCCCTGCCTTCCCCAAGAGCTTGGAGTAGTTGGGCATTCCGAAGGCTTCCCAGTCAGCGTCTTGTGCATCGAAGCGGCCCGGAGCCGGGAATTCCTGCACCAAGCTACGAGTAACGAGTACCCACACGAGGTGTAATATGCATTTTACTGTATTGTATCTTGCTATTATATATATAAACAGTGTACTACACTGTATATGTGTATATATATATATATATATATGCTCACCCCCCCCCCCGTTGACAGA